GTCCCAACTTATTTGTCAACCATCTGAAATACCGGACTCCCGCACGGTTGCTGAGCCAAAAAACACTCACATAGTCGCCCCACGCGACTTCCGTAAGACAACCTCGACTGATAATTATTACCCTAACCGTTACGACACCAACCCGATGCTAAACCAAATGCTATAGGACCAATTGCAGTCTTACCTCGTACCCGGTCTCCCTTGACCGGCCAGATCCTGATTCCAGACATGTCGTGGTCCTTCCACAGCCTTGCGTACAGGCCCCCTTTGGCCTAAACCACCTGAAGAAATCTGTGAGCAAATCACCGATTTGCCACAATCTCACTGCTGAGTAGGGACCGGTGAATTCTACGGACCACCCCGCAGTCTTACAACACTCCCACACTAACTGACCACTAGTGAATGCTACGGGGCACCCCGCAGTCTTATCCATAGACCATTTCTCGTTGGCTGCTATGAAATGCGTACTCTTAGTGAAGCGATCAACGACCACCCAAATCATGTCGTGACCGTTCCTTGTTCTGGGCAGTTTAGTCACAAAATCCATGTGATATGTTCCCATTTACCCATGGGTACAGGCAAAGGTTCTAAACTCCCATACGGTTTCTGATGTTGTGCCTTAACCCTAGCACATGTTACACACTCGGCCACATACTTTAGCAACATCGAGCTTCATCGTCGGCTACCAGTAATAGGGTTTTAGATCCCTATACATTTTCGTACTGCCGGGATGAATCGAGTACATGGTCTTGTGAGCTTCTTCCATCAGAAGACCTCTTACTCTTCCCATCCTAGGTACCCAAATCCTACCTTTGAATACCTTCAGTCTTTGACCGTTTGTATCAAACACCAACGTTTTATCCCAAACGTTCCTCCTTTCGGTCATTTTTCTCTAAAGCTTCCTCCTGAGCTTTCTTTTATACTTCCCATTTGTAGAGACAACTTCAATTCTCAACGCTCTTGGCCTCTTCCTTTCAAGATTCACCTTCCGACTGAGAGCATTAGCAACAATACTTGCTTTACCAGGGTGATAAAGTATCTCACAGTCGTAGTCCTTGAGTAACTCTAGCCAGCGCCGTTGCCTCAATGCATACACTATTACTTCATCCCTTTGGGTCAGAATACAACCTAACCCAACTTCTTTAACAACGAACGCGATACTTCTATTGATCGCTTTGATCAGCCTTTACTTCAATTCGGCTTAAGTCAACTGCTACATCGAACTTGGTTCTCTGAACCACATAACAAACTCATCGTAGTCGGACTCAATTTGATATGACCACTAGGGTCGGAATAACAATCATCTTCTTAGTCATTACCGAAACGATGGTAACGACAGACTAGAATAAGATGAAATCAATTACGAGTTCCTTGTGACTTTCCCTGATCCAAGTGTGAGTCCTGTGCTTCCAGTAGTATAGATCTCTACTACTATTCACACCTACTCATACTCGTCCCAAGTACTGTCTCGCAGTCCCAAAGTCCTAAAATCACAAAACAATTTAACACATACGAATGTGTCCAATTAATCATAAAAATTTCCTAGACTCTACTAGGACTTCTTTCATGCGTATCTTCAGTCATCAATTCTACTTCAACTTGGTTGGTGATGGAAATTCCAAATGATGGGACAACTTCAAGAATTACACCAACCATTCATCATCCTGCCAATCGGAGGTGTACTTCAGACGTACCGTATCCCTCTAAACGTTTCGTTATTTTATTAGACATATTCTAAAGGCAAGATACCACTCTTATGACATCTTCTGATAGGTATCATTCACTATCATAAGCTTTTTATTTCCTCCATCTACTCAATTCTCTACGAGTCTTCACCATAATGTTTTGTACACCCAAGCAGACATTCGGTGTACTGGGCGAGAATTTAAGATAAGAAAGCTTTATTTACGATAGGCGTATAAATCTCCTTGTCACTCCGAAACGTTTACATGTTAGTTCTAATCTCGTAATCATACGCTTAGAATCCTACACACATAAAGTTTCCAGATCCGGTCGGCAACAAACCATAGATCCGAACAAATAGTGGCATATATGGCAAACATATAACATTTAGCACATAAGGGCATTTTAGGCATCTTTCCTGAAATAAACTAGTGCTCGTGTCTAAAATATGGTAGACACTCATCTCACAATCATCACTTAGCATTCTAAGTTTAAGTCTAGAAATCCTACAAATTCCTAATTCGCTTAAACTAATGCTCTGATACCAACTGTGACAACCCCTAATTTCTCGGCCAGAAAAGACCGATTTCGTTTATGTTTTTTAAAATAAAATCAGAGTAATCCTTTTAAAAGGGTGTTGCGGAATTTGCTCCCATAAAAACATGATAATTATATTATCAAATCATTTCTGAAGAAATGTATTTTATTCACTTAAACCATTGGGGTGTCATCGTCAATACAGAAACATAAGCATAAACAGAACTTACACTCACTTACACTAGTTATCTACATCTCTTTTAATCTCTCAGTGTAAAGTAACTTCGTATCGATACCTGTGATACAAACAAACTGAGTGGGTCAGGCTTGGGAGCCTGGTGAGCATATAGGGTTTTCAACCCACAATAAATAATTTATTATGCTTAAACATCAAACAATCAACCCAATTACCCAATCCCCATTATCTTATTTATTTCTTAAGGATTTACCCTAAGAATCAAATCTCACTTATTCCTAAGGATTCATCCTAAGGAATAGGCACGAAGTCCATCGCTGCCCAAGGTTTATACTACAAGCACTAACAAACGTCGATCAAGAATCGACTATCCTTCATCCAATCATTCCTCATGATTGACCTAAGGAATTTATCCAAAGTCCATTGCTACCAAGGTTCATACAACAGGCACTACGTCACATAGTCGCCAGGGTTTATACAATAGGCACTACGTCTCATAGTCGCCAGGGTTTATACAATAGGCACTACGTCTCATAGTCGCCAGGGTTTATACAATAGGCACTACGTCTCATAGTCGCCAAGGTTTATACAATAGGCATTACGTCTCATAGTCGCCAGGGTTTATCTAATAGGCACTACGTCTCATAGTCGCCAGGGTTTATCTAATAGGCACGAAGTCACATCGTCGCCAAGGTTTATACAACAGGCACTAAGTCCATAGCTGCCAACATACTAAATCCGTAGCTACCAACGTACATCTATACTGTACAAAATTCATAGCTACCAACGTACATCTATACTGTACTTTTATCCCTCATACTTTATCTACCCATGTTTTACCCAACATATTCGAAGATAAAATATATATACATTTTAAATCATTTTAAACATGTATAAAACATTCATTCAAAACCCATCTCGAATAAACAAACAACATATATACACATAGCATGTATTTTATATAAAATACTTCATATCTATGTGTAAGATGAGAGTGACTACACACTCACCTGATTTAATGAAAATCGGGCAGCAATTCGTTTCCTAAAACGATCGTTTCTAATAAAACCGGGAGTTTTATTGAGAAACCAGGCTCTGCGAGGGTCGGGCTTCGAAACCGAAAAAATAAATTTTTCCGGGCCTTCGGGCACTCCGGGACGTGTTCCGGGCGTTGGAAATGATCTCGGGGCATCGGGGGAAGCGAAAATGGCTAAAATATTGAAAAACGGGTGAAAAATGACAAATTTGGAATTTCCCCCGGAATATCTCGCATGGCTTCTATTTATAGGGGTCAGCTTGCGAGGGTTCGGTCGAGAAGGAAGAGTCAGCGAAGGCAGGTGGCATCCGCGGAGCGAGGCCAGGTGGCGGGTGCGAGCTTCGGACACGCGAAGGGCACGCGGCGCCTTCGGATTGGGCCAACGAAGCTCGGATGATGAGTCAGAAGCGAGGCGCCTCGGAAGATCATTGGACCGCACCCTCGGTCAAATCAGCAAGCGACACGCGTGTTGCGCACGGGCTATGCATGCGAGGATCGCGTGGCCAGCACCATTCCTTGCGAATTTTCTCGAAAATTGTGCCCATTCTTGTAAAATCCATAACTTTCTCATACGGGTTCCGTTTTTGACGTTCTTTATATGCACGAGTAGGTAAAATTACGCTCTACAACTTTCGTTTAGACTTCGTTGGCTAATTTTGAATTTAATTTTTAAATTATTATTTTTAACAGACCGGGACAGGAAATCCGTTAAAAATTCATAACTTCTTCATCCGACGTCCGTTTTCGTCAGACTTTTTACCGTTGTGCTATAAATGACGAGACCTTCGATTCTCGTTTAGGTCGTGTCGTCTAAAAATCTCTCGATCTAAAATTCGAGTTTTTAGCTGTCTACTGCTAAGCTGAAACTTCGAAAAATCATAACTTCCCTATACGAAGTCAGATTTGAGCGTTCTTTTTATACCTACTCTCGGTTTAACGAACACTACGAGTTTCGTTTAAATCACTAAGGCTAAAAAGTAGTTTATCAAAAACTCACTTTTTACGACATTTGGCACCGTGCCGGTTTATCGTGAAACTTCGACAGGTCATAACTTCTTCGTTATAACTCGGATTTCGGTATTCTTTATATATCCGTAATCCTTGTCACGCCCACCACAAGTTTCTTAATAGATATTGACTTTATCTAATATTTAATTTTGACGCTCATTTTTATTTTTAATTAATTAAACCCTAATAATTAAGCATAAAACACATAATTCACATAATATTTATATAATTCATTTTCATTTCTTCTAAATGAGTTACAAAGGTTAACCAAAACCATTATGTCAATATTAATGCCTAGCCTAGAAATACGAGCGTTACAGAGAGTATCCCGAAAAGTAATTGTGTGTGTGTGTTTTTTTATTAAGAAAAACGAAATATAGATTTTCTTGGATTAATCATTTTCTGGATTTTCATATTACAAATTTTATTAAAATAAGTCAATAGTTACGACTTTGAAAAAAAAAAGAGAAAAAAATAAAACAAAATATACCCGCAATTTAAGTTGAAAGCGCAGCCTATATAAACTTGATCCAATAAACGCCAATACCCAAATCTCACCGAGTCCACCCATTCGGGGACTCGATTCTTCCTCTACACGCTTCGCTTCCATCTCTCAAACCCTAGGGTTTATGTTTTCAACTTCAATCAATCACAAACACTACTTCACTCACAAATCTTTCCACCAAATTCATGGGTTCTGAATCAATCGCAGCAGTCACTGTTTCCAAGTCATCATCGTCCTCCGGTGAAAAGTGCTTCCCTCCTGGTTTCCGGTTCCATCCGACCGATGAGGAGCTGATTCTGTATTATCTGAAAAAGAAAATCTGCGGTCGATCACTCAAGCTTGATATCATCGGCGAAATTGATGTTTGTAAATGGGAACCAGAAGAGTTGCCAGGTATATACATACACTCTTGTACTTTATTATACTCGTCGTTTGCTGTTTATTGATATCACGAATTGGTTTTTAGATTTCTTTGATTCTGTAATCACCAAGTTCTGTTTCTTCTTCTGAGTTTTGGAATGGTTAATCATTCGTTACTTATCGTACCTAATTTCCAAATGCAGGTAAAGCTAAATGGAAAACCGGCGACAGGCAGTGGTTCTTTTTTACTCATCGCGATAAGAAGTATTCTAATGGAGGAAGATCAAACAGGGGGACAAAACACGGTTATTGGAAAGCCACCGGAAAGGATCGTCTCATTAAGCACTACTCACGCACAGTCGGATTAAAGAAAACTCTCGTTTTTTATGAAGGCCGTGCACCCTCTGGTAAACGCACAGATTGGGTGATGCACGAGTACTCCATGGAAGAAGAGGAGCTCAAGAGATGCAAGAATGTACAAGAACACTACACCCTGTGCAAAGTATTTAAGAAAAGTGGACTAGGTCCCAAGAATGGTGAGCAGTATGGTGCTCCCTTTGTTGAAGAAGAATGGAGCGATGATGATAACTGTTTAGATGTTGAATCACTTCTTGTGAAGAACATCAATACTTCAGTCAATCAGCCTAAGTTAACTAGTGAACCTGAGATTGTTGAACCACTGGCTCATCATAATCCAGTCAACAGTGCAAATAACCCGAGCCATGTACAGTTGGAGGTGCACCCTGGTTCTGATTTGGCTCAGTCAGCAAAAGAACCATCAGTGATCACTTGTGTGGAGGAGGTGCCTCTGCCATTGCCACAGCCTTTGGTGGTCGATGAAGATTTTCTTGAACTGGATGATCTACAAGGTCCACAACCATCTTTTCAAAACTCAATGTTTGATGATTTTCAGTTTGGTGGTGTTGATGAGTTTTGTGCACTTGAGTTCTACAATAATGCAAACGAGTTCAACGAAGTGAATCCTTTCAAAAGTCAACCATTTTACACGAGTAATCTTGATTTTGGAATAGAAAACTCTGGTCTACATTCATATTCAAATGATTACAATTCTAGCCTCTGGACACACAACCAAGAAACTGAAGACTCAACTGATGTCACCATTTTTGCTCCTTCAGGTACTGAATTTGCTCCAAACTATGGAGGCGACACATTCTGATATACAAGGGTTGTTTATCAATCATTGACAGTGTTTGACATTGAAATGTAAATAAATTACGATTTTAGCCTTTCTTAGTGTACAGTGTTTACATTTGGCTAACATTTTGGGGCTCTTGATCAGATGGAAAATGGTGAGAACTCTCAAGCCCAACTGTGAACAGGGGAGAGTTTGAGCCAAACATTCAAGAGTTCATTGCCATCAGTGTGGTATTAGTATGATGTAAACTGTTAGCTGATATGCAAGTTCTTTTTGTCGTTTGTTTGTTTATTTTCTCTAGGTATAAATGACAAGTCTGGAATACCCGATTCCGGTGTGAATCAGAATCAGAAAACCGGAGAAGATGATGGTGGGACGGATTCCTGGTTTTCTTCTGCCATCAGTCTGGCATTGGCATTGGAGAGCAAAGCTCTTACGAATAAGACGTTTGATCTTATTCCTAGTTTTGGTAGAATCAGCAATGCCGATGGTGCTGTTACTCTTGTGACTAGAAGGGTAAAAAGGTCATTGAGACCAAAGGGTATTTGTTTATTTTTCTGTTCTTGGAGTGTTGTTTGCTATATTATGTGTATTTTTAGGGACATCTATCGAGTTACTAGCAAGATGCATATTGTGAAACATTCATATGGTTTGGATGAAGGTGGAGAATCTTATTATAAATCATGGGGTGAAGTATGTAAATGTGAATAAGAAACAGAAATAGAACATTAGTTGATTTTGGAAGGATTAAAATTCCTTAGGAAAAGATAAATGAAGTAAACCGAATGTCTGTCTATAAGGCTGGAGGGAGTGGTGCCAAGCTTGCCATTTTGTTGGGGCGGGAGGTGCCATGCTAATTTTTTTTCCTAAACTAATTAATATTACAATTTAAAATCTCAAACAAATTATTTTTATAAAACCTAAAATTTCATTAAACTAGAAAATAAAATTAGAACACCAAAAAAAATCAACATAGAATTTTAAATTACAAAACCTAAAAATTTAATATACAATTATATTTAAATAACGAAAAAGAAATCAAACACTTGAAATTGAAAAAAACACACCATACTTCAAATTAAGCTAACACACAATACAATTAAAATTTAAAACACACAACCCATTAGAAATTAGAAGACAACGAGCTTAGTGAATGTTATTTGTCGCACCGCCTTACAATTTGTCAAAACTCAACAAGACGGAAAGATTTGTCCGTTTCTTGGCGGAAAGCCTCGAGAGCATTTACTAATAAAGTATTTTCAGTTTCTCCTTGCTCTGTTTCATGCATCACCTTATGAAACATATTGTTAAACCGAATTAAAACTGCGTTTGCATGTCTCAATTTGGAGAAGATTTGATCTTTACTTCGAGGTGGAACTGATTTGCGGTTGTATTTTTTTTGGCGACTTTCCTCCAGAAAGTAGGCGTAATGACGTTAATGTTGATTGAGTCTTCTGTTTCATCAACCAATGAACGAGCTAATATGATATCTTCATCACGAGTAATTTTTTTGGCTATGACGTTTTGAAGAAGATGGAAAATAAGAAGATTAGAAGAGTTGAATTAAAGAGATTTGAATGTGGTGAAGAATGAAGAAGGATGTTGTTATTTATAGTTTTAAAGTTTGAAAATTTAAAAAAAAAACGATTATATTTTGATAAAGGGTATTTTTTTTTGAAAATAAGATATTTTTTGAAATTGTAAAATTTAATTAAATGGTAAATAAAAAAGAAACAAATCTCTCTCTCTCTCTCTCACACACATGCGCCTACCTACCTAAAATGCCCACCGAACTTGGTATGACGAGTTGGTGGCGCGGTGTTCACCGAAGCCAACTCGGACATGCCGAGTGTTGCCACGGTCCACTCCGTTGAGCTTAATACTTAAGAAGTAAGTGTCGAAGCTTATGTATAGAAATGAGTACGAAGCTTAATAAGAAGATAATAACTTTTGAATTTATCACTCTAAAATTAACTATTTTGAAGTTTTAATTCACTTAGGGCGTGTTCGGCACGAAGCGTTTGAGAGCTTCTAACTTCTAGGGTTTGACAAAACGCTCCGTTTCAAACAGAAAGTCTCGTTTGGCACAACGAGCTTCTAGCATTTACTTTAAACAAAATGCTACAAATCTAAATGCTACTTCACGTAGCGTTTGACAAAACGCTACCAACTAGAAGCCACCCGCTACTCGCTACAAGCTACCCTCTACCATCTATTTTTGCCGAACACGCCCTTAGTGAAAATTCGAAGAAAAGTACGTGAGACTAAAAGATTTGATTTGGTAATACTTAAGAGAATATGAAACTCTAATTCCAATGATGTACCTAGTAAGTATTATCGAGTAAAAGTTTTGGGACATTTCTTTATAAATGGAAGATGAAAATATCTACAAGGTTATATGGATGAATAAGGATCCATAGAAATTATTTTGAAGTTGAAGTAAACCTAATAAAAGACTTCGGTAGATTACACGAATAATGAAAGTTAACCTAATCTCTAAATATTATTAAAAGAGAAACCTTGTGACATCACCTTCAACAATCAGGGTCATTGATTGTGTTTCATTCCTATCTTTTCCATCTTTAGATCGTTACGTTGACATCATCATTTGGTCAACCCCCATTTTTTTGGTCCACCAATTTTATGAAATCTATTAATGACAATTACTTTTAACATTAGAAAATCTATTAATGACAATTAAATCTCACCAAAAATAAAATTACTTTAAAAATTAGGAAATCTATTAATAACAATTAAATCTCACAAAAATAAAATAAAATAATACACCGCCACATCCCTCATTATCCGTTTCTTTTGTTCTGGTTTGAAAATCACAAACACATGCATTATTTTCTTTTCAATTTATTGCAGGGAATAAGATATGAAGATCAATGGTGCTGGAAGATATATAAGAAAGATTCTCCCACTAATTTCAATGATGCGTACGTCTTATTTCACAACGATTCAATCGATTCTCCCTTCTACGACCTCGAATCCATATACAATTTCTCTTCCCATGTCTCTATGCGTAAACAAATAATCTTATCTCTTTGATTCCTTCTTGTGTAACCTCGAATCCATTTCATCTTATGATCACAACCGCAAACACTCATCTATTTCGTCTCCTTCTCTTTCTTCATATTTCTTGCGTTTCACCTTAGGGTTCTCCTTCTTCCAGTCAATTATTTGTTTCTCCGCACAACGGCTTATAATTGATTTGTTATGTTTCGATTTCTGGTGTTTATTTCTCAATTTTGATGAAAAAAATCTAATTTCTACACTTGCTTTCAGGAATTAAGGGAATAGCTCTCCTTCTCTGCCTCCCTCTTTCTATATGTTGTAGAAACCGGATAGACGACATACACACACAGTTAATGCGTTCATCTTTTTGATTTGTTCATAGGTTTGTTTCTACACCACTCCAACCTCTTGTTTTGCATTTTATACGATTTTTGTTACTGTTTTTTTCCTTTCCCTTATTTTTTTCACCATTTTCTGTTTTTTTATATAGCTTTTGTGTGTTTACCTTTTTCTTCAGGGCTATCTTGATGTTGATTTTGGGTTTTTGTTGAACACAATTATGATATGTGTTCTTGATGTCAACTGGCATTCACCCAGTACCTCAAGAACATCTAATATCATCTTGCAAATACCCCTTTTTGATGGTATCGCCAGATGAAGATAAACAAAAAAGGAAATAAAAAAGATGTTAGGTGAATTATTAGTTCCAGAGTTCAGATTCATTGAGTAGTTGGTAAAATAATATAAAAAAGTAGTCAACATTTATTTGTATGATCATAAAAAAATAGAAGTGGTCAAATAATTTTATAATTTTGCCTCTAAAATAAAATGAAACTTTTATTTTGGACTAAAAAAAGTATTTTGGGGCATAAAACTTAGAAAAACTCCCAAAATAAGACGTCCAACACTCAGATGAACACGCCCATTAAAAAAAAATAAAAAAATGCTTTTATTTTTTATTGAATTGTTAATATATTTTTCCTATTTTATGCTGATACCAATCGGTTTCTTTCATGTTGATCCTCATCCTAGAAACCTTGCAATTGGCTCGGATGAATCATGAATCATGAATCATTAATATACTATGATTTTGGTATGACGAGGGAGATTAAATCCTTGACCAGAAAAAGATTGATAGATCTTTTCATGCAATTTATGAAAAAGTTGCAAAAAAGGTATGAATTTTTTTATTTATTTTTCTAATGCTGTAAAGCAGGGTCACCATAATGTAGTTTTTTAGGTACTCGAATAGAATTTATATTTGGATTAAGATTAAAAAGTATTTTGCTATAATTGCAAATTATGAACAATTTCATAAGTCTTGAAGCGCTTCAACCCATTGGAGACATGGCGTCAATATGTAAAAGTTGAGAGAAGAAGTGTGAGAAGAATATTTGAAGCTCTAGAGCATTTGAGGTTATTAGGTGTGTATTGTATGTAGTTCTTTAGTTTATATTCATATCCTTAAGTCGTTATTAGATGCTTAAGCTATTGAGACAAAAAAAATTGTAATGATCATGTACTATCAAAGTTTATCATCGGGAAAATTTGGGATTTTGATGTGTAGAAGGTTGATTATCAAAACAGAATATATCCACTTCCAAGAATTTATAAAATTTATATATTTTTCAATATAACCAACGAAAGAATGGCGTTTTGCCATCAAGTTCCATTTAACCTTATTTCTTATTTTCTTAGATAATATATCATCGAGGTAATGGGATACAATCCCCTACACTGGAATTAAAGACCAACTGTGGGACATATACTTCGGAATCTTTGTAGTTAGGTCATTCTTAAGATTCTTACATTTGAAGAACGAACATGTCCTAACCTTATTCCATAATATGCATGCTTTCTAAAAGTGCAATTCTTATTTGGTTTATATGGTTGTATAACTTTGTATTTTTTTAATAGAAACAAGAATTGAAAACAGAAGTATGTATAAAAGGGATATAAAAGTGGATGTTATCCAAAAAATGGATGTTGGAAAATCCATTCCATATCCTTCACTTGAATTAACCAATACATTTGCTTTTCAAGATCCAATATAGTTGAGTCGGATGCATATGTTGTCAAAAATGATCTCAGGTTTGACTTATTTATTTATTTTCTTATTTATTTTTATTTTTTTATAGGTAAATTGACATTTTCATTATTAAAATGATGTTAGTGTGAAGTAAGTATGAACAAAGAGCGTTTCTTTTTTGCAACCATCTAAAGTTTGGTAAATGACCCTTTTACAGTTCTTTTTTTAGGGCGTTTTATTTTCATTTTTTTGTAAAAATCTTTTAACTTTTGCAATATATTGATTACGGACTGCACATCTATACGAATCATTCTAACTTCTTGACAGCTCAATCTGAAGTCACCTCATAGGAATTCGACATTCAAAAAGCTTTTTACCTTGCCACCAAAGGAATTTCTCATTGGTGATTTTGTCATGCTCTTTCATAAGAAAATTAGCCCTTCAGGTATACTCGGGCGGTTGGATTTGCTTACGGACTGCACATCTACACGAACTGGTTACTTATTATAGTTTCCAATTTCATTTTTGAAGAGTAGACTCTTCCTATATTCAAGAACTATTGAGTTTTATGCCAACTTATTGCGACACAAAACAAGTTTTCATTGCGGCTGCTTTTTTTATTCTTTTATTTGTTCTTTTAGTGTATGATACAAAATTAGATGAGTTAGGCCAATGTTATTAACTATCATTGTTGAGTTTTATACCAATTGTAGCCTTATACTCCGAATTTTTTTCATACAACGAAATTATGTTGTTTTTCCTTTTGTTTAATCCCCAAAAGAACTTAAATGAAAATGAAAAATGATAGATAATTCAACTAAAAAGATAACTTTTTGACAGTTTTCATATAGGTCGCACTTGTGTTCTCCAGGTTAAAGTTTTTTGCCAACTCAAGAAAAATGAGTATTTTGCGACTACTAGAAAAATAGCCTTTTATGACGCGCAATGCGTGTCGTAAAACGCTCAGACGACGCGCAAATGCATGTCAAGGAAGGCCCTGTCATAACGAGACGCGCTTTTGCGCGTCGTCTATTTACGACGCGCATTTATGACACACATTTACGACGCCCAGTTATGACACGCAATGCGTATCAAGGAAGGCCCTGTCATAAAGGAAGACGACACGCATTTGCGTGTCGTAACCTTACGCCGCGCGTGTTTATGACACGCAATGCGTATCAAGGAAGGCCATGTCATAAAGGAAGACGACACGCATTTTTGCGTGTCATAATTTTAAATGTTTTTAAAATTATATATTTTGATAGATTTACTAATTTTCAAATTAAATAACACATTAAAAGTCTCATAATACAAAATAAAATACCATAAACAATAAAGATAATACATTGCACTAATATGTCAAATACAAATAATCATTCCAATAGTAAGTAAATGTAACACATTGCTGATATTACATAATATTTATTATAGGGATGTACAGAGATGTAATTTGTTCTTGTAAATTGTAATGTACTATATATGTACAGAGATGTAATTTGTTCTTGTAAATTGTAATGTACTCCCTCATTTAGTGATCATATGCATCAGCTCTCAAATTCTTGCATAAAAAAGGTACTTTAAACTGGAAACAAGAAATAAAACATGGTCAAAAAGGGTATAACAGTAAATTGTAATAACAAGCTACCTTGGTTTTAGACATTTGAGAGATGATTATGTACATGTAAAGCATCAAAAATGGTGTCAACCCATCTGTCAAATGCAAAGGGTAAATAAACACGCGAAGTTATAATAATAATAATAATAAGAATATAATAAATAATATGAGAGGAATTATAATATTATATATTGTAACGACGTAAATTATAAAACAATTTTTCATTTTTCCACATAATAAAACTCATATAATATTCTCAAAATCTCATGTATCAAATGTCATCATAATAAAACATATCCCAGAATCTCAAAACATAATCCTCTGCCAGTGTGTACAAATCATGCCGGCGCCTTCCTGCGATCATCGCTGGTACCTGAAACACATATCACATAACACGGTAAGCATAAATGCTTAGTGAGTTCCCCAAAATACCACATACAACACATAAGCCACTCGAGGCTATAACTCGGTATGACCCTCTAGTCAATGTGTCTCAGCGGGACCCTCTAGTCCCGTAGCTCGTTGGACCCTCCAGTCCGGTCTAGCTCGTTGGACCCTCCGGTCCGGTCTAAATCGTTGGACCCTCTGGTCCGGTCTAAATCGTAGGACCCTCCTGTCCGTTCTATATAACACATAGCATACATATATCACAAGCACATAAACTCAACATACACATAACACATAAGACCCTCCGGTCTGCACATAGTTACCACTCTAGGTAATGTATAGTGAGAAGACTCACCTCGGGTAATCTCGGAAAGTCTCGAACTCGAATATCTGATCTAGCCTCCGCCTAATCACATAAAGTAATTATCTCTAATTAATACGGCTCTCAAAGGCTAGACTAGTCCCTCCCTATATTCTCTCAGAAGGGGAAAATACCATTTTGCCCCTCCAATGGTCCAATGTCCAAATGTTGACCAAACCCTAAAAGTCAACCCCAGTCAACGGTCCAACTTTGACCAGACTCGTCGAGTACACTCGGGTGACTCAACGAGTCCATGCGTGTCCTCTGAATCCTCCTAAGGCCTCACTCGACTCGTCGAGTTAACCTTTCTCTCGACGGGTTACTACTGATCACGAATCGTGGTGCAACACGATCCGACTCGTCGAGTCCGCTCATGGACTGGGCGAGTTTCTTCCATGAGAATGCTCAAACGACCTTCTGAGGTCAGATCTGTTTCTCTAACTTATAGATCTGGCCTTCTAACACTCAAAAGTTACGTAAAGGTCCAAACTTTATGCTCATGCAACACTCATATGGCTCTATATGCTAATTTATCCCTAATATGACAACCATGTTCTAAAACCCAAAAAGGAACTGCATAAAGCTGGATGTTTGGGGCTCTGTGGACCTCTCAAGGTCCAGATCTAAGGTCTATTTCACATTGGGACCTCTCATGCTCTTATTCCAACTCAAGAAAGGGTAAAGAAACCCTTGATTCAATAAGCCTACACAATAAAGAAGAAAAGGGCCGAATTGCTACCTCAAAGTGAAGCCTCCTTGCTTGAAAGTCTTAGAACAACAACCTCCTTTGGTCCTTCTTGTTGGATCACTTCTCCTCCTTAGCAAAATCACAACAAATGGATCAAGATGACTCTCTCTCTCTCACTACCCACGCTCAAATATGCT